TGGTATTACAGTAAGGGCAAGTGTAGCGACTTTGCGTGTCTACTCCAGGCTCCATTGTGATGCGTGCGAGCAGTTATTGTCGTCTGAGATTGTGTTATTTTGTTGAGTTCAGATAGGTATTTGGAGGCAACATTATCATTTTTATCATAAGACCATTTTGACCCTTTTAAACCAGGAAAGTCCCATTGAGTTCTGGCCCCAGAGAGTATGACTAGGGTCGGGGGCCGTTATGGGGGACTTTAGTAAATGGAGCACCTGAAGGAAACCTACTCAGATAATGTCTGTGGAGACTTTTTAGTTTGAAGTTTTGTATTTGATTTCAGTGTCACCTGTCTAGAAAACACTTGCTGTTGGAAAACGTATAGATTTAGGTATAAAACTTGCTATACCCCGCCAAAACAGTGGTCTATTCAGACATATTATTGAAGTTTTTGTACCATCACAATTCACCCATGCAGCCAAATTCATCTCAAATTGTTTGCCATACACAGATGGTTCTCGGCATAAGTTTAAGGTGTTTACTTTATTACTTGATTTAAAATACAAAAAAGTTGAAATAACCTAAAAATTGAACTACAAATACGAGATATGTGTAGTTAGTCGTAGCAATGTTGTCCTAACAAAAACATCAGATTACATTGTTATTATTAAAGTCTATTCAATTTTTCAAGGACATCCTCTTTTTGTTCAAGATAATTGACTTTCTGCTTTTACTTCAGTGTCAAACCAGCTTCAATAAGATCAAGGGAAATAAGTGAAATAAAACGTCCACAATTATGTAGTTATATGCCAATGTATCTTGAGTGGCTCTTCAGTATAATATGAGTTTGAAGATTCGCCACAGGTCGTGTCGGGCTGAGGTTGTTGAACTCTCCGAGCTGAAGAGATAAAGAAGAGGCGGACAGTGGTTTAGACAAAGGGTCAGTGAGTTTAGCAGAGATAAGTGTGGAGACCGATGGAAAGCACTTGGGGACATTTAAACCAAAGCTACAGTGTTCTGCCTCTGGGGATTTAACCTACTGTCCGACAGCACACGGAATATGCAAAAAGTTATCATTTTGGGGACTTAATAGAGAGGTTGAAAAAGTATATTATTACATTAGAACATTCTCATTTAGAGAAGAAATATTATTATTATTTTACAATTCAATTCAATGTATGTCTGTAAAGCCCTAAGTCACAACAGCAGTTATCTCGGAGGACTTTACTAAACAATTCGCCCACACGGATCAGAAAATCGAGACGCAAGAAATGCAATGATAAACTGCATTTTGACTGCTAGCCTTGCGACCCGGCAACGGATGAAGCGGAAGAAAATAGATGGCTAGCTGGATATTTTTTAAACTTTTACATTGCAAATTTTTGCGAACTTGTGACACTCCAAAATGTACCTTATCTCTATGAAGATTGTGTTTTGGATGTTTTGAAATATTGCAGATTTGCTACTTCTTGCTACTTATATTGTTAATTTAGGGTTAGGCAAAAGGTGTTTTTCTTCAGCCTGAACCCTCGCTGTCCTTAATAATGGTTCATCTTTGTGCTTGCTTTTTTTGTTCATCACCAATGACAGAAATAACGTAACCCTGTAACCCCGCCCCCTCGGACTACAGTTGAAAATTCGCCTTTGGCTAAAATCTGGCGTGTCGACAATGTGTTCATACAGTATATGTTCATTGATATGTACAGTCCCAGTCAAATGAATACTAAAATACAAATACAACTAAACTAATTATAATAACCTCAACCCTAACTTCAAATCTGTGTTTGTTGTTGTCGCTGCTGAGCTTTACATCTTTCACAATTCTGGATGTCTTCCCTAAGTCATCTATCTACAGAATGTAGGCGTAATTCAAACGTGTACCTCTAACACAGCCATCACAGAATAATTGGCATGCTGTTGCTTAAAAACATGATTTAATGGCATATTTGTTCAGTGCAATAAAACACAGAGCATGTTTGGAGGTGTCTCTTGCAGCCGTAGCAGACAGGTCAAAGACAAGTTTGTTTATCACTGTTTATCTTTTGCACAAGCCATAAATTATCATAAAGAGGCCACGAATCACCGTTGTGTGGTCTCCATAGTAATCCAAACATTTAGCTCATCCAGTGACTGTCTGGTTTACCAACATGTCTTACACAAGCGTATGAACTCTGCTCGAAATGGCATTGACTCTATAATTACTGCAAGTATGGCTTTCGTAGAAGCAAAAGTATTTGGGAAATGTTTGGTAAGGACATACATGTAGTTGCAGTACAATCTTGCAGTCTTTTATCCCTTAATTTAATATTTCTATTTCTATATCTATAATAAAACATATTCAACATGGTATATGGCTAATGCCTAATCTTTAGTGTTTGAAGACACTATTATATATAAAGTCTTTGTGTGCCTTCTCAAAAGACAATTTTGTACTCCCGAGGAATGACTATATTTGTGAGATGCCATATGAAGATAATTGTATATAAGTGGTTAGCAAGAGTACAAACATTTGTGGAAAGACCTGAAAACTGATGGTCACAAACCTCATCTAATCAGACGGAGCTTGAGTTGTTTTCTAAATATCCATCCATCCATCTTTCTTCCCCTTTATCCATTTCTGTGTCGGGGGGTGGCCAGAGATGCCACCCAGTTCACAAAGCACCAGCCCCTCACTGATCCTCCTGCAGGTGGTGAGACCACAGGAGGATGGCTGCTCTATCGCATAGCCTTGATCTTTCAGCAGGGGTTTCAGGCAAAGTGGGGTTTGAGTGTCTTGCCCAAGGACACAACAACAGCAGTCATCAGTGGGAGTCGGTGGAGAAGGTCTCATGGTGGGCTCGAACCCACGACCTTCAGTCTCAAAAGCCAATGCTTTACCAACTGAGCCACTGTCGCCCCACTGTTTTGTAAATATGATCGAGCAAAACTGTCAGTCTCAAGATGTGCAAAAGTCAAAGCAGTCTAAGCAGAGACGTCCGTAGCTCCTCCAAAGTGGCCTGGGTTTTCCCTTGTCTCCTCGTGACTACTCCCCAGGGAGACATCCGGGAGGCATCCAAAACAGAGGCCCGACCTCAACTGCCTCATCTTGACGTGGAGAAGCAGCAGCTCTACTCCAAGCTCCTCCCCCTATCTGTATGCTATCGGCCAATACCTGTGGGTTCGGATTCCAGCTCAAAAAGGTCTCTGAGCATGCATGCGTGCTAAAATGCCTGCAATCTCAATCCTTGCCATCTTCTTTCCTCTCAAAAACGAGTTTACAGCCTAGAAGGTATTGTTTTTTGGAATAGCCTAGTTTAGCCTCTGTGGACTTTAGAATTCACTCATTAAATGATTGGGGCTCACGCTGGCAAACTCATGCACAAATGCTTTTTTTTTTCACGTTTTCCTGTGGGAGGGGATGCCTGCGGCCATTTTGAATCCACTCATGTCTGTGGCGCATTTCTACGGATCGAGGAAATAGGCACTCCATCCGTTAATATTTACAGTCTATGGAGAAGATAGAGGTCTCATGACCATAGGTGAGGGTGGGACGGTAGATTTACCAGTATCTGTATGCGGAATTATAAAATCACTATTGCTAATATCCATTCAAGGGAAGTGGTGAATACCTACAGTTGTACCGTGATCTGGGTTCAACAAAACGTAAATAAATAAACAAAATGAGTGGATAAATGTTCTCGCTGCACAAAAGGACTCCCTGTGCTACACTAAGGACATACTGAGAACATAATTGATAGCCTTCTTCAGCGGCTCCGTGTTCAAAACCCAAAGTTGACTTAGGACCTCGGGACGGTCCTATTTTAGCAACGCATTTTCATAATTCATAATGTTTTATCCCAGCGGCCTTGGAGCGCATTCAGAAATCTGTTCCAATTCAAAATACATGGAGTTTGGAGGTTGTATGAGAATAAACTATGAAAAGGGGGAGGATGCAGTTTTGAACAAAGTGAAGCCAATGTTTTATTTGTGTTTTTGTGTTTGTAGGTTGAACTGTCGGACAGCACCACTCACACCATCACTGACGCCTACGCTGGGAAGGAATACATCATCCAGGTGAGATTCAGTTACCTTTGGTGCTCAACATAAATTGGCTATATTTTCAATGTCATTTTTCAAAGGCCTAATAATTGTACAATATTAAGAAAATCAGACCACAATATGCTGTTACTAGAAAACATGTTATTGTATCAGTCCTCACTTGTGTGTCTGTATTGGGTCAGTCCATACGGCTAAATAGCTGATTGGCTGAATCTTTTCTCAGTCTTCACTTTTCTGAGTGTGTGGTTTGATGGATTTGAACCTAGTAAATGCTTCCTGGGCAAAAGTTAGGTACCCCAATTTTAATATACTAAATCTGGTCAGGCTTATGGTGAAAATGAAAGACAAAGTTACTTAAAACCTCAAAGTGTTCAGTGTACAGTTATATGCGTTTCTGTGAACAACCTTGGACCACTTTTTATGTCATTTCGATAGTATTTCAAAGGTGAGTTAAAGTCAAGTTATTTCTCTGTATGGAAATATATGTAATTCTTTCTTCCTCAATAAATAGGAATGAACTGTATCTTAAAAAGTATATTTGTCATTACTCTCAATTGGTGCATGCTATTTGTTATCGCTGATTTAAATCTGGGGTTTCATACTTTTCATACAAACACATTTAATCTCGCAGCAAAACTAAAGAATTTGGTTCTAACACTAGTTTTTACTCACTGTTTGCCTTTTTCACATCTTCAGATCACACTTTTTAGAGATAAAAGTAAAGTTATAGGTCCTCCCTCACTCAGTCAATCAGCCTAAAGTGTAAAATAGTATCTTTTTCACACACATGCAAACGTCAACATGTTTTATTCTGAGATGAAGACGCATGTTGTGGTTTGATTTGTTCAAAACATTTTACTTTTACAAGACTCTGTTGGGATTTGTTTTATATATGAAAAAAGGTACCGAGCTTGAAGGAACGTGCAGAAACCTCTCGACAAACAGAAACCGGATATCTTAAGAATAATGATATCTTGTTCAGGTTGCGGCTAAGGACACAGAGATCGGCACATGGAGCGACTGGAGCGTGGCTGTTCATGCCACCACCTGGATCGGAGAAATCACCTCTCCTCCGGATGTCGACCCGGTCATCCCAGGTAAACACTCAACAGGACACACTCATTTAAACATACTCATAAAGAAGCACTAGAATTCAATATTTCAAATCTGATGAGATTGCTCAACTAAAGAAAAGTCTATGGAATTTAAAATACCAGAGATGGCTTGTACAATCGTCCCAGTATGTGCACTTTAACATTGCCTGGTCTTACCGCACCATTGTACACATTTCATTTTGTTCTAAGGTCTGATTTTGCTCCATCAAGCTCCGTTAACAGGTGGGAGGGGTTAACTCCTTTTTTCAGATTGAAACGATTGAATCTCAGTTTGCCGTGACAAATTTAATGCGCCCGAGTGAGTTGCTAGCATTTAGCGTTTAGCATAGCTTGAGGGAGTAGAGCCACAAAATATTTGCCAGTAACATTAAGTGACATTTGCCAAACATTCGTCCCACTCCGGCTTCAATTTCTTGATATGTGCGAGCCGAACCAGAACGAATTACTTTACTACCATATTCGTCGCCGTTGAAAAACTCTTGACATCACCGACACCTACCTACAACACCCGTCTCCCCCACTCGCCGATTGGTTGGATGGGATACAATCGAGGTAATCGCAGCCAATAAGATCAGACCAGTGGGGGAGGGTCCCAGCTCAAAAGTGGCCAAAATGACGTGTGCTGACATGCTTGCAATACCACCCCGGGCCGATGGGGTGGACCCAGAAGTAGAATTAGCCAATGCTAACATATAGTATTGGCAAACCTCTCAAAAACGTCTTTACAGGATGGACCAAAAGTTGGCTCTTGGCCCAAAGCTCCGTTCCACATGTGTGTCAATGCTGAGGGGGGTGGAATTTTTTGGTCCACTCTAGTTTACTTGCTGTAAATTTTTTAAGTCTCTCGTTCAAATGAATGGAGCTGTGCCGGCTGACGCATGCGCAGATGCGTTTTTTCACAATTTTCTTGTGGGCGGGACCACTCGCGGCCATTTTGGATTGCTCCAGTAGAGCACATTTTTTGGCCCATTAGTTAGAACTGCAGAGATAGGCGTGACTCTGGCCATTAATATATACAGTCTATGGATCAGACCCAGATGTACATGTAGGGAAATAAATAATTGACCGGAGTTTACGGATGGCCAGGGTCCGGCTAACTTTGACAGGATTTAAAAGTGAAAAGGAAATAGTAAAGACCTACACAGAGCAGACAGCAGAGTGTGTGTGTTCTCCGAGCTGAAGGTTGATGGTTTGAATCCTGCTCCCAAGATAAACATAATTGCTTGAGCGGGCGGATCATTCGTCTGGGAGGTGTCTATCTGGCAGACAATTGATCCATTTTTGAATAAGGCTGTGTGTCCTTGTGAAAGACTTTTAAACCACATCACCTCCAGTGTTGACTGTATGAATGTGTGTGTGAATGGTTTCTATAAAAGCTCTAAACAAAAATATTAATAACAGCAATAGGCAAAAGTACTAGCTTTTTGTTTTGAGGGTGTAAAACCTCTCACCAAACACTTTATACACTTTTTTAATCTCACTATTTTTATTCTTTGGTCAATATCACATGATGATGTTTGAAGTGGTTAGAAAGTTAGTTTCTTTGATCATTATAAAAAGCTGACATTTATTATATATCTTTTATCAAACTTTTTAAACAAAATAACTTCCGTGTGAGTTTCCTAACATCATTGGTACAGGTTTGAAATAACATGGATAGTACAAAAAGACGGTATGTTGAGTCTGATGAGTCTGAATGAGCCCATCTCAAACCTGGTTAGCTATGATCAATCCTTAAAATATAAGCTCTGAACATTTCCCCAGTGAAATTACTGTATTCTTTGCAAACATTTGTCGAAGTTTGACAATAACAGACCACCAAAGAGATGGATTATTTCCCCTATCAAAATGTTGACAAATATTTTTTTACCTATAGCTCAGCTGCTATATTTCTATCCACAAGAAAGTGTTACTATGGGATAAAGTAACTGGTTCCTCTCTCTCAAAATAGTTTGGTTCTATCAATAGTTATCTGCTTTTTCAGAAATAAAAGTGATAATAAGAGGACCACCCTCACTCAGCTCTCAGCTTGACCTCTCAGACCCAAAGATCTGAGTGTCTCTATCCATGCCAAATGTGACATGTAAATTTCTCCTATGTGAGATAAATAAAGCAAATCTTATCTTATCTTATCTTAAAGTTTCAAATAGTGAGTCCCTAGACAATAGCTCTCAGCTGACCTGAGAGACAGTCTGGTGAGCTGGAGGAAGTGTGTGTGGATAGGGAAGTCTGGGCATCCCTGCGTAGACTGCTGCCCCGCGACTCGGCAACGGATGAAGCGGAAGAAAATATAACATGTTTGCTCCAGTGGGGGCGGGTGCCGGCTCCAAAAGATCCATGAGCATGTGCGCTGACGGGCTTACAATCCCACTCCTAGCCTGTGGGGGTGGACCCAGAAAGAGAAATATCCAATGCTTTTGGAAAACGGCTTTACAGGATGGTCCAAAAGTCGGCTCGAGGTCGAACGCTAGTCTGTGGACTTCAGACTGCACTCGGTTAAATGAATAAGGCTCATGGCGGCGCATGCACAAATGTGTTTTTGCGCATTTTCCTGCCCCCATTTTGAGAAAGTCCCACAGAAGGAAAAAGTGGTGGCACATTAGTTTTAACAGCGGAGATAGGTCTGACTACATATGTTAATATTCACTGTCTATTGTTTGCTCATAAGAAGAAGGCAGCACACACATAAAAAAAACACAGACCACGACATGCCGTGGTCTTTCTGTTGGAGCAAACATGAATTATCTCTAAACAAAGAAATTTGACACACCGCAACAGATATGTTATCTTCTAAAACACAAAAGACCAAAGCTATCATGTTTAAGTCTTCCTGAAAATGTGAGACAGATTTCTACTCTGACAATGTTCAAATCCAGGTTAAAAACAGTTCTTTTTAGCCGTGCATAGGAAGGATTGCATAATCACTACTATTCATAATTTGAATGCTTTGTGAGATTGTTTCCGTCTTGTTCTGTTCAGCACTTTGAGATACCTTGTGTATGAACTGAGCTATACAAATAAACTTGCCTTGACTACATCAAAAATAATACTTAAATGTCAGTCATATTTTAATTAGGTGTCCATGTAAAATTGGCAAGGCAGCAAACGGAGGCTCTATACTTGTTTTGCTCTTCGATGCCGGCCTGGATCCATCTGCTCAGCTCCATTTCATCTTCTTTTCATTAATGCAGACGATATTGTATTTCAACGCCACATTTTTATTCTACAAGTGCCTTTGTATTAACAGTTTTCCCGCGCCGTCCCGACATAAATCTCCCCCTGAACCAGTTAGGTATGAAATGGAGTTTGCTTAATAACTTTCTTTATCATTACACGGAGCACGGCGGAGAGCATTCTTAACTTTTTATCGCCGGTTTAAGCCAGGAGATACAGGCGAGCTTAGATCTAACGCAACGCCCGAGGGAAAGTGCAGTCCCATGCGTCGGAAAGAGTTTTCACATCCCACCACTTGACTGCAAAGTAGAAGGGAGAAATATGAAACTTGACTGACTGTTTGAAGACTGTTTTATTAAAGTATGTGTTTAAGTGTGTATGACAGGTGAGACTTGACTTTTCAGAAAGCACAGTCAGGCTGCTCTACATTACATAAAAGATTTTTCTCAATATTGTAAGAATGTTTTAGGAATGTATTTTAGGGATCACGGTTTTACCTGTTTTTTAAGGAAACTGTCATGCGGGTGAAGTGAATGTAGGACCCAGAATGCAACAATGTCGAAAATGATGATTCAATGATAATAAAATGAAATTGAAAAAGCGGAAAAGCAAACTGAAAATCCAAACAAAACTCAAGATCCATGCAGGGTACAAACAGACGGACAAAGACAGAGACAATACAATGAACCAGCAACAAGGGGAGAGGAGCACAGGGTACATATAGACACAGAGACAGATACAGACCCACTGGAGAGAGCCCACCTACCCTCCCACTCACACCTGGAACTCCAGCCACACCGCCCAGCACAGACGGAGAGATATGGCCCGTACACTTCCCGACTCCACAGAGACGGGACCCTATACTCAAACCTAACCTTAACCCTAGCCCTTAATCATCCCCAACCCTAATCTTAACCAAAATAACTGTTCCTAACCCTAACCTAAACCTGACTGTTACTCCTAATGGTAAATTTGAATAAAGACGTAACAACACATTTTAATATTTACCTTTGACCGGGACAAGATATTTTTATTTTTATATTTGCCATTTCACTTTCTGATTGTAGAGTATGAAATCACAGTAGAAGAATAACCAAGCAACCAGGTATTAAACTAGAATTTTAAAACTTATAATAAGTTAATATATATTGAAAGAATAATTAATTTAGTAGAGTGAAAAAGTAGAGTGTAATTTATGCAAAACTTCAAAGTGTGTTTTGTTTATTTCTAGTTTAATGTCAATGATCCTGGAGAACGTGGCACTACTTCTGGTAAATGTTTCATAGCTTGTATACATTTCACCATACATGATTTATATATAGATTTATAAATAAAGTTGTTAGAAGCTTGGATACTCAGCCTGGAGGTCTGGGCCAGTACTGGGCTTGGTTTTGAAGGCAGCAGGTGAAACAGGGGCTGGTGGTCTATCCCCTCTCCTGTGACAGTGAGTGGTCTCGGTGGGGTGTGTATATGCTCTGACCTCCGGGGAAGCCAAACACTGTGGATTTTCTCTGCAATTTCCACCTCTCACTGGACCGCCTGCTGGTCAGCTTTGGTGCAGCTAGAGAACCATACTAAAACTCCATCAGAACACTGCTGACGGCCCTGATTTAGGAGTCAAGCATCAGTAGTCTGGCGATGTCCACGCTCCTCGCTCATGTGCGTTCTTCCCCCGATGTGACCCGCCTTTAAACTGATGATGACGAGGCGTCTTGATCCTTCGTTAGATATTTGGTTTTCCAGGACAACTGTCTGTCTGTCTACAGCAGACTGATGAAACAGTTGTTTGAGGTGAATAAGGACAAGTC